GTTTAGTGGTGAACGTGCAGTGCTGGGTTAACAGCTGGACTCGATGATCTTAGAGGGTCAACCTTAACAAATCTTTGATTCTAACTGCACTAAGCTTTTATTCCAGGATTCGACCTCTCTACCCTTTAAGGACTCTATATGTGAGCAGTACATCAAACCCAGCACCTACGGAGAAAGTACCAGCGAGAGGGATTCCGCACATCCCAGCGCACCCAACACTCCCCTCGCACAGCACAGCTTTACTTTAACTGTGCCTCGCTGCATTCGGGACACCTGTCCTGGGGCAAAACACAGAGAACTGTCTCCTGCAAGGACGTGGTTCCTGGGTCCCGTGGTGCAGGGGGGACACAGGGGTCGGGGCTACCAGGGGTGCACCACCAGTGTTGCCCGAAGCCTGCTCACCCCACGCCCTGCTGATGCCACCCCACGTGGGGACCGCGGCCACCCCAGCAGCTCCACGGTGGGGACTCGCGGAGCATTGCGGCCACCGGCTGCCCCGCGATCCGCAGCTTCTCCGGGGCCGGATGTCCGACACCCCGGGAAGGGCAGCGGGGCCGCGGATCTCCGGCACCGAGAGCAAAAATAAGCCGCAAACGAGGCGGCGTCCGCGGCCTCCCCGCGGCGGGGCTGCCAGCGCACCGCGCTGCCTCGGCAGGCACGGACGGGGTTCGAACCCGCGATCTTCGGTTTACGAGACCGACGCCTTACCACTTGGCCACCGCGCCCGACGGGCTGGCTGCACCCGCGCGCCGCCAGTGGAAGGCAGCGGGCGGCGCGGCCGCCGCCGGGACCGGACGGCGCGTCCCGGGGCGCTGCCGGCGGCGGGACGGGGCGGGAACGGGGCGGGAACGGGGCGGGATGGACGGGGCGGGACGGGGCGGAGCGGCCGCGCCGGGCGGGGGGAGGCCGCGGGGCCGCCCCGCGGGGGCTGCCGCGGGCACGTGCGGGGCGGGGCGCCGGGAGCCCGCACCGTGTCGTGCCCGCACCGTGTCCCGCCCCTCGCAGCGGGACCCCTCCGAAACCCCTTCCCGCCGTGTCCCCGAGCGCTGCTGCTCCCACACCGGGGAATTACAGGGGAAGGCTCGCTTTCCTTTCCTTCTCCCGGTGTTTCTCGCGGCGGAGCAACGCGGGGTGTCCCTGCAGGAACACGGAGCTGCCGCGGGAAACAAACAGCGGCTGTTGGGTGTGAGAAAAGCACTGCCAAGCTCATACCTCCGGCCCTGTCGCTGGCCAGCTCCCGGTTTGGGGGGGCCGGAAAGGATCCCCCGAGGGCAGGAGCCGAGTGGGATCGGACACAGCCCCTCGCAGGGCCCGGGACACTGCGGGATGGTGGGGACTGTCCCGGCACTCGGGAGGCTGGCGGGGACTGTCCCGGAGCCTCCCGTCTCTTCCCTGTGAGCCAAGCAGCAGCGTTTCCCCACCCTTCCCTTGGGACAGCATCAGGCAATCTAATATGGTTTGTGTCAGGAAGTATTTCCTGATATTCAAACTGAATTTTCACGTTTTACTTCAATCCCATTATCTTCTGTTTACACAGTCAAATCATAATAGCATAAATCTTAAATACAATACTGCATTATTAATATTTCCTCCTTTGGGTTTCCAGCTACCAAATATTTAGTCTTATGGCTAACGCTTGGTTAAAACCCAAGAAATGAATCAGCTCTCATTTTTATCACCACTAGCTGAGGGAAGAATTTGAAGGTTGTGGTTTTGAACCATTATTTAGCTTTGCATTGAAATTTTTCATCCTGGCTTCTGGTTTTCAACCAATGCTGGGCAGCAGAAAGTAATCTGCTATTTTTTAGCTTACATATTCATCCTGAAAAACACAAACCGAAGCAACCAACCAAAGAGGAAAAAAAAGGCACAGTTAGAACCTTCTACCAATCTCACATAATAGAATCCCTATCTTTACTTTATACTATGAATTTGTAACCAGGCCCCACTGTCTGTCAAATCAGATCTGAGTTACACAACCTTTATTACAGGAATGCATCCTGTGTTTGCAGTGTTCTCCTTGCTCAAATAAACCAACCACGTGAGGTCTGAGCAGCTCATTCCAAAGAGGAAAAGTTGCTTTCCTCAGAGTCCCATTTTAAGGTGTTCATACAAATATTGCAGTGAATCTATCCCAGCCTGTCTCTGCTGCTAAGGTTTACCTTTTTGAGGCTACAGTTGCTTGGGAACTCAGCATCCCAGCGATACCCAGAGCCCCCAAAAAAGCAATATGGCAGGAGGTGCTGGGGTTGCAGAACACACAGATGTTTTTCAGCCACATCCTGCCCCCTCCATGGCCCTGGACTTTGCATTTCAGGTGGTGGGTGTTTGACCACATCCCTGGGCACAGGACAGTCCTGGCAGTGCTCCTGCTCCCTCCCCAGCTCTGGCAGAGTGATGGGAAGAGCCCGGCTGTTTTCTGCTGCACCCACCACCCAGCCTTGCTGCTCCCCAGCATGGGGCCACTGAGGGGGACACAGTATTTCCATGAATGAAAATGAACTCCTCTGCTGCTGACCCCCAATTCACTGCTCTGCACAGCCAGAGCTCGGCTCCTTAGTCCACACTTTGATCCAAGAGGCTGAAGGACAGCCTTGGTCAGGTGTTGTTTCTGTGTCACATGGCACAAGTGCTCAGGCAGCCCAGAGGATTCCTGAGGGCCTCAGAGCAGCCCTGCCTGGTGACTGTTCAGGTTTTAAATAAAAGCCTGAGCACATTAGGAAAAGCCACAGAGACAGTGTTTCATAAAACAGAGCCAGCAATTTGCTCCAGTACAACAAGGAGAGAGCGAGTGCAGCCTTTCAGCAGCTGAGTTCCATCTACCTCAGTTGGTGCCACAGCTCCTCTGTCTTTTCAGAAACAGTCTGTACTCTGAGTCATAAACCCCATGTTACACATGTTTGAAGCAGTTTGCCTCAAAATGCAAACTGCCTCGTCAGTCAGTGAGCTCAGGCACAAAGATCTCGGTGTGAGGGAAATAAGCACCGTGCCAGAGGACATGCTGACATATTATCATTGCAAAGTTGCTTTAAAATCACCATTAACCCAAATGGTTATGGTTATACATCTGGGACAGTCTTCAATTTACTAGTCATATGCTCTAACCTCTTTTTTGCATCCAAAAAGCAGTTGGCTCCGAGGACAAATTTCACAAATTTCACCCGAGTTATGCAAGCTAGGAGAGTCCTTGCTGCATTGCACGGGTCAAAAGACATTTAGAGTGGAGTCACACATCCCAGTCTGCCCTCAGAGATTCAGGAAAGCATTGAAACATGGGCCATCCAAGAGTAGTGAACAGAGCAAGGGAAAGCACTGAAGTCATGGCTTTGAGACTGCTCTGCTGAACAACATGTGTCAGCCAAGACAACATGAGGAGATCAGAGCCTGCTGCCAGACTACAGGAGTTGGACAATGTACTCACTCAGTGCTCACATGAGATGTGTTTCCTCTTTGTAACAGCTCTCCTTGTCACTGTTCAAGTTCTCAGCAGTTTGAACTCCTGCAATCTATTTCCTACTCTGCTACTGCCTCATTTAACCTGTCTGCCCTCAAACCCTCCTTCCCTCCTCCCTTCTCTCAAAAGATAGGAACAAGACAAGAATCACCTCCCAGGAGTTCTTGAGCTTGTAAAGTTCCTGGTTGTAAAATGACGCAAGGGTTGTGGCTCTCCTTAGCCCAGTAAAAACATGTAAAACCAGCATAATTTTTTAGAAACTATTACAGACTTTGCGGTACATAGTGTTAATGATTCCTATCCCCAGAGTAACAGGTGATTTGCTTTCCCACTGTGTCTTTCTTGTGTACCAGTGTGTAACTGATCTGGAAGTAGGTCAGTAGTACATCACATTAGCCTGAGGTGCTGAGATTTGGGAACAAAACTTCTCCCTGTCTCTCTGGTGAAGTAGTTTAGCATACACAGTAGGGAGTTTTCTTTGAGCCTGCAGTTATAAATCTGAATATCCAACATCTCATTGCTGGGAGGAATCTGGGAATGGAAAAGCCTGAGAAGATAACACACAGGTACGTTGCTCCATGTATTATTTATACACTATCTTTGCTCTGATTCCCCAAATATCTGTACCCACAGTGAGAAAAGCTGCCCCACAGCCACATGGGGTGATACTGTAAAAGACACATACCAGGTTTAGAGACTTCTGACAGCCAGATGAAAGTTGTTTGGTACGCTATGATCACTTGAAGATCATCAAAATGTTTTATAAGGAAAAAATTTGCCCTGCAAGGCTTGAACTGATTAGTGAAGCCTTTTCAAAATTCCCTTTCCCCCTCTCCTTTGCTCCGAGCCCAGCTGGAGGCAGAGATCTTACCACCTTAGATTTCACTTTATATTTTAAATAATACACCACAGGCTCAGTTCCCTGGCTCTACACTCTTCACCATCTTCCACACAGGCGAAAAACAGTCACATTTTTTTACATCAAGGGTGCAAATGACACCTGACAAAGCAGCAGATTTCCAGGAGCCAAACTTCAAACCCAGTAAAACTGCTGTGGAAACACATCCCTGAGCCACCTGCACCCTGTGGCTATGTCAGTGTGGGCTTTGCTGGTGCTCCCAGGCCAGCCTTGATGGTTTCCTCCAACACAATGCCTGGCAGGCAGGAGAAGGCAGGGAGCTGCACAGGGCTGCTGGGGGAGATGCTTCGCCCCTGGATTGTCCCAACACACAACAACCCCCCCCCCCCGTTTTTACCAAGTAAGAAGCACCCAGCACCTTCCTAGGCTGGCTGTGTCTGCCCCTCTGTCAGCAGCGTTTTCACAAAGCCATGGGCCCCACTCTTTTGGGCAGCAGTGCCCACAGACACCCCGGCTGCCCCTGAGGGGACCATGCTCTCCCCTCACTCCACGGAGACTCTTGCAAAAAGCAGCCTCGAACCCAAACTGCTCCTCACTTATTTTTTTAACTCTAGCAGTTAAAATACAGTGCAGAGAAGAGGCCAGTGGGTCTGGCAGCTCAAACAGAAGATGAAAAAAAAAAATTACCTCAGAGTGTCGGTCGAGTGGGCCCCGGTGTGTCCTCCAGCATCCCGCCTCACGGAGAGCCTGTTCCGCTGGGAATGGGAACGTGGTGAGTCCTGGCCTCACCTGGCTGAGGGGCTCCTCCACACATGGCACCAGTGACAGGTCCCAGCTCCCAGGCATAGCCCAAGCTGTCCTAGCACCACCCTGGCCCCTCATGGACAATCCTTGCTGTCCTGCTCCCAGGATGGACCCTCCAGGCACTCCCGGGAGCCTCAGCCTCTCCCAGGAACAGGCCATGGCAGAGTGTTCCCTCAGGCTTCCCCTCCAGCACATGCCCAGGGGTGGTCACTGCTGGCCATGTGAGGCCAGACCAGATTCCCCCAGGACACGGCTCCAGGCTGTGCCCTCCCTGCAGCAGCTCACTGCCCTCAGGGCAGGAGTCACAGCACTGCTCATCAGCCCCACGGGTCAGTAAATACAGGCCAGATTAAAAAGCTGGCTCCAAATCCTGCAAACAGCTCACGGCTGGAGTTCCCATCAACAGAGAAGGGGAGAGATTAATGGGTCAGTCCCATACATATCCCACACAGCTCTTGGATGTTTTACATGGTTGTGGCTGTCAGGTAAGGCATGTGCTGAGCAAACTCCTTCCCTAGTGCCATCCTGGAGTTCCCTCATAACTCAGCCAAAGATAAGGAAGCTGGTGTTTGGGCAGGGGAGAGCAGAGCTGGGCACTCCTCCTTTAAATGAAGCACAGAACTAGAGGTGGACCAGGAAGGAAGGTAAGGAGGGACATCAAATCAGTCATCCACCACAGACCACGTTTCAGTCATGCAGGAAAAGCAAACAATTTATTTACATGTCTGATTGTACATTACAGTTACCTGAAGGATCCACATCAGCAAGGACAGCTTTATTGTCCCTAGAAAGTATTTCAAGAAAATACAAAGAAAATAGTGTAAATGGCACATTGCAACAGTACTGACATCACTTCACGGGTGGTGTAAATTACAGAATGAGATTAAAAATAGCCATATGCCACTTTTGCTGGCTGCTTTTTTTTTTCAGTAACAATGGAGCAAGTGGACTTTTCTCATTTTCATACTAAGCAGCCTTTAAAGTAAAAAAATAAAACTACCTCATTGCTTCTAAGGCAGTTTTATATTCTGTCAAATGGGTGCCGAATTCAGTCAAAAAACTTCTGCTCCATGAGAGCAGAACATACTATTTTATAGATAAAAACATCTCTGTGTTGTAAGATTTAGGGGATATTGATGATTTCTTCCTTGTGACTTAGCAGAGTTTATCTCACTGTGTCTGGGGGCTGGTGAGTGGGGTACTGATAAACCAGAAGGTGTGAGTGGAGGGAACAATTTGAGGATCTCACCAGATGAGGGGGTCAACACTCTAGAAATGAAACCACCAGCTCGAGAAGAGGCTGGTGGGAGGGAAGGACACTTCTAGGACCAGATCCCTGGTTGCCAGTTACAGATGTCCAGTCTCACAACACATCTATTCAGCTTCCCAAATGCTGCAGGAGAGTGCTGTGCTACAAACCCCATGGGAAGGAGTCTATTCAGCATTTGCCAAAATGTGAAAAGCGAGACACCCAGTTTCTCACTTCTGCAAGAGGAAGATCTCCAGCCATGCATATCCAGGGTCTGTCCTTGGGAAACGCTGCCACAGAAGCCAGGGAGGAAAGAGAAGGAATAATTTAAAGCATCTGAGGCACTCTAAGACGTCGAGTCTATGAATTGGTAATGCTATTTCTCTTTCCATTTCAATGGGCAAAGTAAATCACTTGCCCAATCCCACAAAAATAATCCCGGAACTGCAGTTAATCTGAAATGGGCAATGTGTTCAAATGAGGTTTTGGTCTGGTGTCCATTTCAAGTATAAAAAAAAGCAAATTAGCTTTAATGGAAATAAAAACTATAATTGCCAAGTCAGGACAATAACATTTAGTTAAGTGTTTTATTATTTTGAATTAACTGAAGCCAACAAGTGGATAGAATTGGTCTCATAACGATACTAGAACAATAAATCTGCGAGTGTGTGTGTGAAACATTGCCTTACAAAAGAGACCAGCCATCTGACACAACATTTCTAAAAGAAGACAAGGAACTGCTAATTATGTTAATTTTCATTTGCTACGTAATTTAGACCATGATCTAGTGCTTCTAAAAAAACCTGTACAAAATGAGTATTTTTTACATCTCAGAGGCACATGAATACAAATCTGATCTAGTTTATATATACACATGTACAAGAAACCAGATGATAAAATGAAAGAAGTGTATATAAAAAGTGCCCGAAACAGATGATAAAATGCAAAAATAAAACGTATCTTCACAACAGAGAAGTAAAAGGCACAAGTACTAAAATACGTAACCATGCAAAAAACGTGGGTAGTCTGTGCAACAAAGAAAAACAAATGGCTCTCACAACCAATTTTACAGTAATTCTCAAAATGTTTCAGTATTTAAACATAACATCAGTGCAACATTTACTGCCCTGTAGCAGGTTCACAAGACACAAAATTCTCGGTTCCCCTTCTGGCGTCCTTTCTCCAAAGCCAGAAGAATTTAGCTACAGATAAGGTATTATATAAAATAGGGCTGGTGTTGGGTAGTGTAAGATCCCTGTGTGGAGGAGTAACTGCAGCCCTCCTGCCCCCCTTACCCTCTGCACACTGACCGTGTGTCTCCCAGGAGAGTCCCTGCTCCTCGATGGGGCACAGCAGCTCTGAGGGGTTTGCCAGGGCCAGTGTCACTGCTGACAACAGGAGTGTGAAAGCTACAGCTCACGTGTCACAGCTGCACCACTAACAACACCTACACAACCAGAAATACGGATTCGAGGGGTAGGTGTCCAAATTACACCACAGAAGCCCATGTTTGTTACTGTACGTTTTCATGAGGTTTAAAGTTTAAGTCAAAAGTAATCCCTCTGTGTCTGTTTGAACAGGTACTACTCTTGCAGTTGAAACAAAACCTCCAGACTTAAGCCAGTGAGCTAAAACCCATCGTATCCGGAACACCACGTAGCACTGTCAGCTGGCTCCACACTGTGGCAAACCCTGGTACCGTGGCCCTGGCTGCAGATGTTTGTGTCTTTACGGGCTGCTGCCGTTCCCTGTTCCCTACGAGGTGTGCCTGCCAGGCTCAGCTGCAGGGCTGTGCCTCTCACAGGCTGTGAGAACAGAGTGCAATGGGACACCTGTACAGAATCCAGGCAAAACTTGTGGCACATCCCAGTGATCCCACACCTGGATCACCTTCAAACTTACCCTACCTGCTTGCATACTGTGAGAATCAGCTTCAGCGTTTTGTACGTGGAACACAAACAGCTTTCATGACCACACAAAAGGCAAGGACAGGACTGGCCTGGTATAAAGACAAGGCTGAAATTGTCTCGGTAGCTAAAGCCATACTGAAGCCAAGACTGTTGAATTTGTCCCTTCCATCTGCTCCTAGTGCTGCCCCAAGGCACACAGCCACTCTGACTGTGGGCACAGTGGCTGGGGACAAGACCGAGAGTGTAAATGTCAACAGAACAAACACTGGAGAAGAATCCCAGAAAGAAACAACTCTCTTGCACATCGATGGGAGTAACTCCCAGTGCATTATGCAGGATGACAGGATTCAGATCCAACACCTACTGCAATCCTTCTCAATATCTAAAGGTGCATGCAGAGTTTCATTAAACAGAAACCCATACATGCTTCAACAGCAAACTGCTCCTAGAATCAATACTTTGAATTCAAAAATACTGAGAAAAAACCCCGGGGACGATGCAAAGGAAAAAAATGTCAGCAACTGTGGAACTATATCCTTTAAAACCAACCAGCTGTGTTACATCACCTGTCATGACTTCTTGACAATGTTTCTTGAGAAACAAATGACTTGACAAGAATATGAGCATTGCTACTTACACCAGGAACTGCTCAGTTAGAGTTTGAGTCAAGTTTTCACTTAAATCAATATAAGCCAAGCCACTGATTTGGCAAGTGTTTGATCAGCTGCTACTTCCTTCCTTCCTTCCTTGGAAAAAATCCCTCAGACCACACCATACAGTATTTGTTTTAAGAGAAAACCACTGTATGTTCACTGCCATCAAAGAAGGAAAAAAACTGTTCTTTTATTTGTAAATTCTAGTTCTTAGACTCATCGCATGTCACCAGCACTATGATGCAGAGACCGCTGAGCAGTGCCTGGTGTAACAGCCCAAAGTGTGTGTTTATGTATCAGCTTCCAAGCCCTCATTTACAAACCAGATTAGGGAGCCTAAACACTGTAGCTCTAGATCCTCTCTGGAGAGCAAGGCAGTTCTACCAAAGTAAATGGAGCATTGCTGCACTCAGACAGCAAAATATTTGTTGATACACATATCTTTGAGAATTAATAATGCTGCGTTCAACTCCCTACAGAGCTGGCTGAGAAACATCTGAATTTCTCCCAAAGACCATGAAAGGAAAGTTGGCAGCAAAAGTGCATGGGATGGTTTTGGGTTTTTTTGAGACTTGCAACAAATTTGCATATTAAAAATTCCTTAAAAATAGATGGGATGGTTACAGTTTGTCACTGTTGCACTTCAAAATAAGACAAATTCTTAAAGAGTTTGAGTCTTTAACAGAAATTATTAAGAAAGCTGAAAAATCTTCTTTTGATGTCAAAGCAGTTTTGAATCAGCATCACTCTGAAATCAATACTAGGCAACAGTGAAGACTGAAGTCTGGAGGGAAGCAACCAATATCAGAAAAATCGTGAGAGACTAATTTCAGGTACTCTCAAGTGCAAGTTTTGAAAGAGGTAATTTTTCTGTGTGTAGGACTGCCCTGACCAAGGGCAGCTTTCAGCCAAGAGCCACTGGTACAGAAATACCTGCAGTGGTTTGCAACTGGTTTGACCAGAATATCACTTAGCTTTTGAGAGTCTAAGGTTGAATGAACTAAGGAACAGATCAAGATACAGAGCCTGGGATTGTGTTCACGTCCCCAAGGGTTAAGTGAGAAGCAGGGGTCTGACACAGGAACGTTTGCTGCATTTGTGCATTGCTAGAACAGGGTGATAGCACATTTCTGTGTCTGAAGTTATTTACCCAGGGAAGCGAGGCCCTTGTTCCAGCAAGAGTAACACTGACAGAGGCAGGTTGTACTTCCCCAGCTCTCCTGAGAGCACAAAGGCAGCACAGCAAAGAGGTAAAACTTATCAGAGAACAGACACCCAAACTGGTGCCTCCCTATCGCCACGTCTCCCGTCTGTTCCGCCAAAGTCTGTCTGACACCTGATCAAAGTGTGCACTCTCTGCACCTTCAGCATCAGAT